CTGTATTGTTCCACTAATTATTAAAGAGGAAGAACTAAAAGCAATCAATTCGCGAAGATAAACACCACTTCTGGAAAAAGAACAGCTTCCCAAAGAAAAATGCAGAGAGTATAGCACATTTTGCAAGGCATGCAAGTTGGCTTAGAGAGATTCATGTATGACTTTATAATGTTATAATTAATTTTGCATTCTCGGCTCTCCAGCTGCTGCTCCTTTCAGAAGCAGAGCTCATATACTTAGAAATCGGTCTGCGGAACACAGCAATTGACTATTCAGATGTAGTCGCATGATATCGATTATTCCATAGAAATACTGAAATATGAATATGTTTTATATAAAGCCCTTGTTTTTAGAGTTTCTATTTTTATTTAATATATGCGCATTAATCACCAAGCAGGGAAGCAAATGTCTTTTCTGTAATCTGTTGCACTGAGTTTACCAGTTGTTTATCACTCTCTTATCAGGAAGTCGGGAGTTAATGACAAGAAATACCTGTTGGTGTTCACCTCCTCCTCCTCACCTACTTTTTTAAGGATTGCCTCTTCTACAGGCCAGCTGATAGATCTGGATAGGAATTAATCCGGTATGTCTGGTGGCCAGATCTCTGCTGCTGCTTGTAGCGGCAGGGGTAAACTGGTATCTGGGTTTCACAGAAAAGGAGGAGAGTAAAGGAGAAAAATAAAAACTGAGATAGAAAAATAAATCGGAAAGCTTGGATTGCTCCAGACACTTTACACATCCCGAGGTTTGACCGTAGTTCCAGCACGGCATTTTCCCCGCTGTGTGCGCCAAGCTATTGAAACGGCTTCTCCAAGTGCGTTTTTTTTTTTTTTTTTTATCAGCTGCATGTTTAATTGATTAACAATAGGCTGCTCTGTACACCCGCAATTTTTCAGCTACTGCCATCTCCCCTCCTGCCGGTGACCAACCGATTCCTCGGCGTCGTCTCCATCCTACCTGACTTAAACTACTCGAGGTACTTCACGAAGAACTCGGCCATAAATGTCAAGCAACTTCATTTAAGTGCGCACTCATAAATGTTGAAAATAAAACACAGTTTCATTAACTTTTTTTTCTTTTTCCCGAACACCTAAACAATATTAACGAGGCCGTTCCGGGCTGGTAACTTGCTGAAGGTTGCACATGAAGGGCTTGTGGGAAGCGCGGTGGCTTCCAGAGCTGCGGGCCCATCCACTGCGTGCCGGACCGACCCCGATCCCGCTCCGCACGGCGGAGTTGCGGGGCGCAG